ACCACCATCCTCACCACCACCATCCTCACCACCACCATCCTCATCACCACCATCCTCATCACCACCATCCTCATCACCACCATCCTCATCATCACCATCCTCATCACCACCATCCTCATCACCACCATCCTCACCATCACCATCCTCATCACCACCATCCTCATCATCACCATCCTCATCTCTACACCCAAAATCATCATCACCATCCTCATCATCCTCATCCCACCATGACCACCAAAGTCATCATCACCATCCTCATTCCCACCATAACCATCAAAGCCATCATCATCATCACCTTCACCATTAGTAGCAACATTTTTACCATCATCTTCATCCTCATCACCATTGTCATCATCACCATCCGCATCCCCACCACAGCCATCAAGTCATCAGCATCATCACCATTGGCAACAACATCTTCACCATCAGCATTGTCATCATCACCATCAGCATCCCCACCGTAGCCATCAAGTCATCAGCAGCAGGAGCATCACCGACACCATCAGAAACAACACTGTTACCATCAACCTCAATCAGCTTCACCATCGCCATGAACAAAACCATGATCACCATGAGGATCCTGTGACCCAAGTCTACGTGTTGAAAGTGGAGGCAGCATTGTGTAGCAGAAGTAGTAGTCTTGATGCACAGTGACTGGGGAACATTTCCAGAATTGAGTGCCCAGATGCTGGGGAAGCTAAATGTCTTGTCATATCCAGAACAGTCCTGGGTAACGTAAGACTGTCTCCAACCCAAAATGTCTGCAGCATCCCTGCTGAGAAAAGCTCAAGTGCTAGAAGACTCACCAACAAAGAACGGTAGACTCAGAGGAGCCAAACCCACACTGTCAAGTTGATTAAGAAGATAGATCTGAACTGCTTCATAGGGTTTCTGAGCCTGTACACAACACTATCACAACACAAACACAATGGAGAGTAGTCTCGACAGAGTCTGTGTGGCTTTCAAAGACTGAAATAGTCATCAACTTGTCACCTGCAGAAAAGGATCAGCATCCTAGTCTAAGATAACTCTGGGGAGAAGATGCAGGTCAGCTCTGGACCCTCCTAGACATGTCAGCTAAGGGGTGGGAACAAACATGGAGAACAAAGAGTGAAACTGAGTCAAATCCAGACCCCTAGCTAACTCCAAAACACACAAACAAAATAATCCAAGGCAGTCAACTCCAGATTCTGAGACGCCATGTTTGCCAGGGATTCTACTGGGATTTCAACAGCTGAGTTTTCAGAAGGAGATCATCAGGACTTTCTTCTAACGGGCCTCTGGATAGACTCGAACCTCCAATCTTTGGGTGAGTGGCCAGGCAGGTTAACCATTTGCATCACCCAGAGACTCCTATACACGAGGGGGCTTCATAAAGCTCGTGGGAGAAACTGAATGCAAAGATAACGGAATTGACCGACAACATTTTGAAAGCCCCCTCGGGTGCCTCAGATTGGTGGTGGGTGGTTGTGTGACACCCAGTTGGCTCTCACTCACTGCCACCCTTTAGAGCATTTCCGAGAGGCTGTGAATCTTCACAGCAACAGAAAGTCTCATGTTTCTCCCGTGGAGCGGCTGGTGAATTTGAACAGCTGACCTTGCGGTTAGCAACCCAACATGTAATCCGCTGCGCCATCAGAACTCCCAGGTTACAGATTACCTTTTCTAAGGGGATGTCACCAACTCTTTCAAAAACCAACTTACCCACAAGAATGTCAAATGATGGAAAACATACTTCTCCTATTTCTCTTTCTTTTTTTCCATGATAAAACAAGCTTGAAATCTACTGGGGAAAATTAAGGACTGTTTTTCCCCATCTAACTCAGCAATTAAGAAGCAGATGCTCTTCCAGATGCTTTACCAGCCACAGCAAACCTCATCACGTGCGTTTTTTGTAAGGCAACCAAGTCACTGCATCCTCTCATTCACGGTGTTTTCAATTTTCGAACACATCAACACAATCAAACCAGCAACTCCACAAAAGAGTCTTTGAAGCCACACAGAAAGGTTACTCCATCCCCAACGAAGAGAGCTGCTTCCCTGTACCAGGCACAAGGGGTGCCATGGAAAACAGGTAGGGCCTAATAATGACTTGTTCCTCACAAGTTCTATCAAAGGACTACAGGAGGAAAGAAACAGCGGAGTCTCAAAGGAAGGCACAGCTGAGGGAGGGGCATCTGAGTTGGGTCTTGAAGGATGAATAGGAGTTTTCCAGAACAGAGAATCTAAGAACCTTTAAGAGCTAGAAGTAAAGGGAGGAATTCAGAGAGGCTGAAGGGTACTGAGCTGGTGATGGAGCAGTGGAAAGAGCTAGGAAAGGACATGGACTCAAGATCTCACCCCAAAGACCAAGGAGACCAAGATGGGACAATGGAATGGAATCACCGATCAGAGTTAGCTAACGCAGATGGAGGAGGGGCAGAGTTCACTGAACCTGGGCGCTTCCATCAGAGACCCACCTCCTCGGTCTCCCCTCTGTCCACCAGGTGAGGCAGCCCACCTCCAGACCACACACCACCACCCTCCACACTTCAAGATCCTTGACCTCAGAGGGAGAGATGGATAAACAAGAGGAGGGAGAAGACATTCTGGTGTCCAGCCATTTTCTTGATCTCGATCACCACCCTGAAGACGTGCCCACATCCCAGACCCCTTCCATCCCTGCTCCAGCAGCACTTTCTGTCTCCCTCCTGCAGCTGGGAAGCTTCCGGAGCCCACAGTGCACGGCATTGCTCCGTCTTCCATTTAGGGTCCATGCATCTGGAGAGCAGTCCCATGCCACACCCCTCACTGCTTCCCTAACCCCCCACCCCAGACTCCCTGGATCTCATATCTTTGACTTTGCACAGGAACTCACTATGCCTTGGGGTCGTGTTTGAGGAACGGGGGAATCTCCCGGGCATATGAATGGTTGGTTAAGTGCCCAACTAATTCTCAAGGCTACTGTACCTGTCCACCAGGACCTTCCCATTCTATCACCCCCATAACCATTTCACATTCTCCTCCAGGTAGAGAGCCAATGTTGGGGTGCTAGGAGATGCCCTAAAATAGAGCAGTTTGCACCCTCGGCTGCAGAGGGCGGGCATACGCTGAGAACCCTTGGTTGTTCCTATCCTAACGTCTCTTCTGGAGAAGGGGCATCGGGGGGCACTGAGAGTGGACTCCCACAGAAATCATGTTCCGACCCTAGCTCTGATTCTAGACCCACCTTCTGCCCGGAGGAGGTTCAGCTTCCTCTTCCTGAAAGGGGGGAGACTCCTCACCTGAGAATTCAGGTGAGTGTCACCTGAGAGGACACCTGCAGGGTGCTGGATGCAGTGTGGGAGCATGACAGGGTGGGACGGGGGCACACTCACCTGGTTGTAGAGGGCACAGATGTGCAGGGCTGTGTTCCCTGAGGCGTTCTGGGCCCCCATGTCCGCCCCGTAAAACAGCAGATGCTCTAGATGCTGAACGTGTCCGTAGCGGCAGGCCTGAAACACAGAGGGTGAGCTGTGGATCGGGGGGCCCAATGCATGGCGAGCACAAGTCCAGGGCCACCCGCAACCCACCACAAACAACCTGCCACCAAAACCCCTGTGATCTATGAAATGGTGTTCCCGAAGACATACTGAAGTCCTAAGAGCTCGTCAGTACCTGTGAATGTGGCCTTGCCTAAATGAGCTAACATGACTCCTAATGCTGTATATGCTGTTGTGTTAGGGACTGCGCAGTCCGTTCTGACTCATAGTGACCCTGCGTAGGAGGGGCTGGTAGGTTTGAACTGCCAACCTTGTGGTCAGCAGTCCAGTGCTTATCCCACAGCGCCACACCAGGACTCCTATATGAACGGAGTCTTGATAAAGCCAGGAACAGACATGGAGGTGGGGGTCACACGGGGGGAGGCAGACCCCATGTGACAGTGGTGGCAGATGCACCAACAGGCGGTTCAGGATGCCAAGCACCTGGGTCAGGGAGAGAGACCCCCAGAAGGATCGAAGTGACCAACTCCCGGATTTAGATGCTAGCCTCCGGACTGGGGGGCTCTGTCTGTCTGTAAAGCCCCCACCTTGTGAAGATGTGTAAGAGCAACTCCAGGAGACTAGGAACATTTCCCGTCTCAGGGTGGCTGCCAGAACCCAGGCCTTAGGACAGGTTTGGGGGCCCATGCTCGCTGCTCGATTTGGGCTCCAAATCCCTTCCCTTCAGATCAGGGGGCCTAGAAGTCCAGAGAGGCCCCCAAGGACTATCCCTGCTCCTGACTCTCTAACCAGCCATGAAATGCAAGTCAGGGGTCCTCACCTTCAGCCTCGTTATCACCAGGGGAGGAGGCATGAATGCAAGGCAGGGGTCCTCACCTTCAGCCTCGTTATCACCAGGGGAGAGGGCATGAATGCGAGTCAGGGGTCCTCACCTCCAGCCTCATTATCACCAGGGGAGGGGGCATGAATGCAAGGCAGGGGTCCTCACCTTCAGCCTCGTTATCACCAGGGGAGGGGGCATGAGAACAGGCAGGTGAGGGGGCATGAAAACAGCCCACCCTCTGCAGAGTTGGCTGGCAGCAGGGGAGGGTCCACAATGTGGGGCTCCCTCCTCCGATCCCCTTTGTGGAGATGGTATGTGTGGTTCATGACCCACAGGGCCAGGGACAGATGGTTCTGGATCCAAGGCAGGCTCTTCCATAGGTCAGAGCTGTCACCTCTGAGCCTACATCCTCACCTGCAAGCAGGAGCAACACAACCTCCCACAGCTTTTGGGAGGATTACATGTGATGTTAGCCTGACAACGGTTCCACTGTGCGCAAGCCCTCTCTGCCCACGCTCATGGATAACTGATGCCCCCCCCCCAGCCCAACTCTGACACCATCGACACTCCACGCTCACCAACAGCACTCCCAGGTGACCTGGCACCCCCAAAAGCAGGGAGACCCACTGCCCTACAATAAGGCTGCTTGGGATGGGGTCCCAGTGGGAAGGGAGACAGGCCAGCCTCAGCTGCTGAATGAAGAGTAAGAGGACCTAACAGGACAAGCCCTCATGAACCAAGCATTTCAGTCCATGGAGACTGACTGATGTTCATCTTCGTTCACAAAGTCTGTGGGACCGCACTCCACCTCATCCAGTAAGACTGCGGGAAGATGACAAGGAAGATCTTTAAACTAGTCATCGGATGAGCTTGGGAAAAACGGACACACGACTGTGCAATCCCATCAGTGGGCAAAGCAGAACCTAACTGTGGATGGCTAGTGTTGCTTCTACCTGCCCCGTCTCTGCCTGGCTTTCTGGAAATAGAGTCTATGTTTTCCTTCGGGGGGGGGGGGGCGCCCATTCTCCCAGCTTTAGGGAGACCCTATCCCAACTCTGTTCCTGCAGAGGGTGCTAGACAGAGACCTGAGTCCCCAGCAGGCTCCATTTCAACCTCAGGCATGGCATGGGGAGTCCAGACCACCCTAGTGTAGGCATGAAGATCCAGGTTTGCAGAACACCCTGAGACTGCTGGGGCCACCAACGTGGGAGAAAATGAGACAGACAGAGAGACACACAGAAAGAGAGAGAGAGACAAAGACACAGAGACAGAGAGATAGAAAAAGACACAGAGACAAAGACACACAGAGAGATAGAGACAAAGTCACAGAGACATAGAGAGAGATATAGACAAAGAGACAGAGAGACACAGAGAAAGATATAAAGAGACACACAGAGACAAGCACAGAAAGAAATGATAAAAATGGAGGCAAAGAGACACACAGAAACAGAGACAAAGTCACAGACGAAAACAGAGAGAGAAAGGGAACAAAGAATCAAAAATCGAGACAGACACACAGAAAGAAAGAGACAAAGAGACCCACCTGGAGAGATACAGATAAACACAAACACAGACAGACACAGAAAGAAAAACAAAGACACTGAGAAATATATACATATATATACAGTGTAACAGATACACAAAGACACAGACAGATACACAGAGAGATAGACACAGAGACAGAGGGGGGCACACACACACAGCCAAGATGACAATGTTCGAGCTCCCTGACCCAGAGCTTTTGAAAATCATGTCACAACTCAAAAACTTATGTCTAAGCTACAACTACCCCCGAGATTTGTCAGAAATATGAAGACTCAACATATTTCCCCCCTTAAACCCGTCGAGTTGGGACTTCTACTCCTCATGATAGAAGGAACCCGGGGTAGTAACCCCTCCCCACAGCGATCCCAGTAAGCAAGGCGTTGCTGCAGATGAACGTATTTGCTCTGTAGTAACCAAGGAGAAGGAGTACATTACCATAAAGCATTAATTCAGACTCATTACTCCCCTCTCCCCACTTAATCTGAAGTTACAAGACTTCCAATTCCCCCCACGGGATGACTTTGCTCTCTCCTTGCCGAGGGTCAAGACAGGACCCAAGTGAAGAGAGGCTCAGAGCTGTAACTCCGAGCAGATGGCTGGGGAAGGGTATACTCAAGGGCCTTGTTCCCCTTCATTTCTTCTTTCTCCAAACCTATTGTCTAAGACAAAGAAAACCAGAAAAGTGTGGGAAAATGTTACAACAAAGCAACCCCAAAGTTGCCCAGAATTCCACCATCTTCGTTCTAACAGTAACATTCCTTTAAAAGTACCACCTTCGATATTCTCTTTTTAATCCCTGGTTGTTTACGGATGAAGTATATATATACATAAGGGAAAGGATGCCCTGGAAGGGTCAGAGGGCAGCCTGCAGGGAGGGGGACGAAGCAGGGATGAAGGAAGTCCAAATAAGACACCAAGTGGCCAGATGGTGAGAGTAACCTACACACAGGGGAACAGGGCAAACCAGCAAAGGGACAGGAGCCAGTTCTTACTGTCTCCACAGCCTCTTCTGAATCTACCTTGAATTCTGGCAGCTCCCTGTTGATGTACCGCTATAGCCATTTTTAAAATTATCTTCAGCAAAATCGTACTTGCAAGTGATATCAATGATATTGTCTGATGATTTCCACATTCCGTTGGGTCACCTTTCTTAGGAATGTACACAAATATGGAACTCTTCCAATCGATTGGTCAATTTTCTTCCAAATTTCTTGGCAGAGATGAGTGAATGTTTCCAGTGACGTATCAGTTTGTTGAAACACTTCCATTTATATTCCATCAATTCCTGGTGCATTGTTGGTCACCAATGCCTTCAGTGCAGCTTGGATTTCTTCCCTCGACGTTGAATGATTCTTGTTCATATGCTACCTTTTGAGATGGTTGAACATCAACAAATTCTTTTTAGCACAGTTACTCTGGGTATTCCTTCTAGCAATGACCCTAGTACAATTGAATTCAGGCAGAGGGAGCCCAAACTTATAGAAACAGGATTTTATCTAGTCCTCTGGTAGCATAGTGGTTACGAATCAGGCTGTGAACCTCAAGGTCAGCAGTTTGAAACTACCAGCTGCTCTGTGGGAGA